AAATAATTGCCTAAGATATGATGCCATTCCCCAATTACTTGCTTCCATTATAGCATCCACGTACTCCTTATCATCATCTAATAAACCCAGAGCATAACATGCATCTCTAAAAGTCTCATGATCACGACCGTTGATTTTTTTCAAATCCTCATAGCTCTTTGGACCTTTAATGACATTCAACAACAATCTAAGGTAACATTGCTCGCCAGAGCCAGGTGGAACAAAGAATATTCTCCCAATAGAAAATGCAGAAGTTCTTTTTTTTTTCCCATCTTTTTAGGTTTTGTTTCCACACAAACTTTAGAGGGAATTCTGCATAAGTCAATTCTCTTGCTTCAGGAAATGTCTTATTAGCTTCAAACCAGCTTAAAAACATAGATTCCTTAACGGCTGGTCTATTGACAACTGCATCAATTGGATCATCATCTGAAAATATGACCGTCTGATTATTTGGTAGGTGAAAAGATAGCCTTTCTACCGATGGTTCTCTATGGTGTATTGGGAATTTAAAAATTCTCCAAGCAGCTTCACAAGGTGATATGTATCGGCAATCACAATACATATTTATTTCATCAACGACCCCCGAGTCTTCATTATTTACACTTTGAGAAAAAGCTGCGGTGACACGATCATTTCCTTTATTAACATACTTAAATAAGTACTTAATGGATCGTGATTGATTACACCACTCCACGTTAATATGTGCACCATACTTCAATAATAAANGAATTTAAAAATTCTCCAAGCAGCTTCACAAGGTGATATGTATCGGCAATCACAATACATATTTATTTCATCAATGACCCCCGAGTCTTCATTATTTACACTTTGAGAAAAAGCTGCCATGACACGATCATTACCTTTATTAACATACTTAAATAAGTATTTAATGGATCGTGATTGATTACACCACTCCATGTTAATGTGTGCACCATACTTCAATAATAAAAATCTATTGTATGGTACACCATACCTATTATCCAACTCAATACCTACTCTCTTTGCAGTTCTACCATCATCCCTTCTTCTATAAATTGGATACCCATCTTCATCAATTGTGGTTGATGACACAAATTTTTTGGGAAAGTGCTTTGTGCATCTACCATTTTTCATGCAAGGAGAAGATTTTCTAGCAGTACCACAAGGACCATGCATCATGAAATTTGTAACAACATTATAATAATAAGGATCTACTTTTTTATCTGGTGATTCTGCTGAAAATATTCCATCAATATCTCCGATATTTGGGTATTTATTCAGAAGAAAAAGCAAGATGTGTGCATGAGGCTAGCCCCGCTTTTGGAATTCAACTGTATAAATCACTGAAGAATAAAGATGTAATTAGATTATTAAGTTTATATATTAGTTATTTTTAATATTAGCATATAAGAAAATTAATGTGCAAACATAATAATTTTGTAGAACATAAAAATTGTACCTGCTTTTACTTCTCCAAAAACTTTATTGTCGCGTAGATCCTTTATCATGCGATCTAGCTTGATTTTGAAAACCCTTGTTAAAATGTCGGGACGATCTTCTGGAGATAATCCTGTACTCTCCACAAATCTAATAATCTCTGGCCATTTTGGGTTGCAAGTAAATGTGATAAACAGATCAGGGTACCCCGCCCATTTGTAAATTGCCATGGCATCTTGATAATTTTGCAACATGTAACGTGCACCTCCCGTAAAGCTGGAAGAGAGTATAACTTTTTGTCCTTGAGAAGAAGGTTGTATGTCCCCATGTAAAACATCATCTTGTAACCCTTTATAAAAGTGTGCTCTCAATTGTTTTTGATGAAGCCTAATGAACCTCAATCGAGAAAATTCCATCATTGTATAACCATCTACCAAGAATTGTTGAAATAATCTTCTAGCTGACACAATTGAATGAACTTCATCCTTCCTTTCTTGAATTTTATATGATAAGTACTCACGCGTGCTAACACATTTCCTTCCACCGGCTGAATCATCAATATCATTTAAAGGAATATCTTCTCGGTATCCGTCTTCACCATACAAAAATAGTAATGGATATTGCAAACCTAAGTATGCTGCATTTAATTCATTTATCCTTTGTAATTGTCCAGATTGGCTTTCAACTATGATATCTCTGTCAGACCTTGTTTGTTCAAAATCTCCAACGATCAAAGCAGCTACCTCTGAAACTGTTGGTAAATTGTATCTTCTTCCATCAGAGCCTCTTTTCCCAATCAATCTAAGTCTAACATTTGAGGTCCCATCTGTTTGAAATTGATCTCTTACCATTCTAAATGACTTTGCAAGAACATTGTTTCATCAAGCATTTGCTTCAACTCATTCACAATTTCAGCATGAAGTTGATTGTTCATTTTGCCACGGCTGTAAAGAAAAATATTGAATTCAACTAACAATTTACGTCTTATAAAAAAATATATTTTTAAAATATTTTGAGTAAGCAATTGTCTATGCTATCCTGATAGCATGAATTCTATTTTCTACCTCATTTTCTGTATCATAGATATACAATTGTGCAAATTTGGGAGAAGATCCCTCTGGAGGCAATAAGCTTCCAATCTGATGATAATTTTGCCCAGACAATCTGAATGTTCTAGGTCCCTTTGTTTTGTTGATAGAGAAATTCACCTTTCCTCCCATTGATGTAAATGCAAACATAGAATTATATGTTCGAATGTTCTCTCTGAAATGTTTGCTTTTTGCACCTTCA